CGATCTCACGGTCCGTGAGTTCGAGCCCCGCGTCAGGCTCTGGGCTGATGGCTCGGAGCCTGGAGCCTGTTTCCGATTCTGTGTCTCCCTCTCTCTCTGCCCCTCCCCCGTTCATGCTCTGTCTCTCTCTGTCCCAAAAATAAATAAAAACGTTGAAAAAAAAAATTTAAAAAAAAATAAATAAAAGAAAGTGGCTTATTGGCTGGAAGGAATTAATATGTAAAGTTGATTCATGATAGCCTGCGAGATTTGGTTACAAAGGGAATGTAAGAAACTATAACAAATTAAGCATGATTGTGCTCAAGAATGTGGGTGTGGCCTTGTAAAAATTTAAACTAATCCTTTGAGGTTGACTTTAACTTGTCCTCGGTTTTGATATCTTTGCATTAATAGTTTCATAATACAGAAGCATTGCACTATGCTATTCCAGCTTGTTAAATTTAGTGGTTGTTTGAATCACATCTCTCTAATTCGATTTTCGGTAGGAAACCAAGCCATGTGGCTAAAAAATAAATACATAAGATAAGGCATGCCAGGTATGGGAATGTTACGTTTGGGAGAAACTGGGTAAAAGACACGAGATCTTTCTGTATTATTGTTTTATTACTACATGGAAATCTCCATTTATCTCTAAATAAGAGGATTAATTTAAAAAGGGTGGCACAAGGTTTTATTCCCACTCTCTTTTCCAACTGCTAAACTCTAAGTGACCAGGACCTCCTCCCTCGATCATACACAAACCACTTTTATTAGCTTCTTTATGCAAGCAAATACAAACATACACTATTACTCCCTCCACCCTCTAACTTCTCTCACCCCCACCCCACTAATAGTGGCATATTTTGCTCTGCATCTTGCTTTTTTCCATGTAACAATGTATTGGAGATTTTTGCATACCAATGTATTAATTTAAAAAGAGTATTCTAGGGACGCCTGGGTAGCTCAGGCGGTTAAGCATCTGATTTCGGCTCAGGTCATGATCTCACGGTTCGTGAGTTCAAGCCCCATGGGGGACACTGTGCTGACAGCCCTGAGCCTGGAGCCGGCTTCAGATTCTTTGTCTTCTCTCTCTTCCCCTTCCCTGCTCACGCTCTGTCTCTCTCTCTATCAAAAAAAAAAAAAAAAAGATGAGGTGCCTGGGTGGCTCAGTCAGTTAGGTTAAGTGTCCGACTTTGGCTCAGGTCATGATCTCACGGTTCATGAGTTTGAGCCCCACATCAGGCTCTGTGCTGACAGCTCTGAGCCTGGAGCCTGCTTCAGATTCTGCGTCTCCCTCTCTCTCTCTGCTCCTCCCCCATTCACGCTCTGTCTCTCTCTCTCTCTCAAAAATAAATAAAATATAAAAACAAATTTTAAAAAATTAAGAAAAAAAAGAGTATTCTATATAGAGAGGGCTTTCCTTTGAGGTATTCTTTGGATAAACCATATTTATTTAGCCAGTCCTCCCTGATGGAAATCTGCATTGCTTCATCCTTTTGTTATTAAAAGTAATGCTATAAGTACCCTTGCAGATATATTTTTGTCATCTTGATAGATGCCAAGTGCCTCCATAGAGACTGAATCTATTTACATTCCCACCAGCACATATGAAAGCCTGTTTCCCCTAAGTCTCACCAATATCAATACCAATGTTATCAAACATTTAGTTTTCTGCTGATCCAATCATGAAAAATGACATCAGTGAGTTTTAATTTGAATTTTTATCCCATTCATGAGGCTGAGCATCTTTCTATACGTCTAAGAATTATTTGCTCATTTGACCAATATGCTGAAGAATAACAATGTTACAAGAAGATTTGCGATGAGAAAGCTGAGTTTGAATGTCATATTGAAAAGGGGTCCTCCCAGGATCATGGTTCTTATTTAAAATGCAATGGCTCTTAAAGTGTTCAACGTGGTTAAGAAATTCCAGAACATCAGATTGGTTGAACAATGTCATCATGTAAAAGGGGATCATCCTGAATACATCCGTATCGCTAATCAATGACCAATGACCTTATCATCCCTAAAGGGATATTGCCCTAGGGGAAAAAAATAACAATATCAATAGTGAATGCCCAAGAAATATGAATTCAACAAATATCAAAAGCCTTCATGGATCTTACATTCCAGTGAGGGAAGACTGATAATCAAAGTTAAGGGGCATCTGGGTGGCTTAGTTAAGAGACCGACTCTTGATTTCAGTTCAGATCATGATCTCACCATTCATGAGTTTGAGCCCTGTAGCAGGTCAGCAGGGAGCTTGCTTGGGATTCTTTCTCTCCCTCTCTCTCTGCCCCTCCCTTGCTCATGCACGCACTTGCTCTCTCTCAAAATAAATAAATAAACATTAAAAAAATCAGTTAATCATATAGTTTGTTGCAAGATGATAGATGATGCTATGGTGAATAATTAGACTAGATATGGGGGATCAGCAACACTAGCGTGCAATTTTATTTTATTATTTTTTTAAATGTTTATTTCTTTTTGAGAGAGAGAGCACAAGTGGGGAAGGGGCAGAGAGAGAGGGAGACAGAATTCGAAGCAGACTCCAGGCTCTGAGCTGTCAGCACAGAGCCCGACGCGTGGCTCGAACTCACAAACTGAGAGACCATGACCTGAGCCAAAGTCAGATGCTTAACCGACTGAGTCACCCAGGCCCCCCACGTGCAATTTTAAATAGGGCAATAGGCCTTACCAATATTTGAACAGAGGAGGAGGTAAAGGAGAAAGCCTGACAGTACCTGGAGGAAGGTACTCCATCTGGCAGAGGAACAGTCAAGGCAAAGGTCATGAGGAGGTGGTGTGCCTGACGTGATCAAGAGACAGGAAGGTGGGCCAGTGTGCTTGGAGGGAGGTGGAGGGAATGAGGGTAAGGCAAAACAGGAGACACAGACAGTAGAGATAAGTTATAGGAGATAAGATTGAACATTGCTGGGGCTAAATGGATAAATCTGGTGTTATTCCCATCACTTCTTGCTCTTAATCTAAATCTTGCCTTTGCCTCAATGACTTAGTTTTCTAGGAGGGACAGAGATGATCTAGTGCTCTAGCTGCTCAAGTAGGCAGGAGAGCAGACAACCTAAACTGCCCCCCACCCCCTGCCCCAGCACATGTGGACAAGTGCTTTATAGGCTGTTGGCTCCGGCAACAAGGTGACCATCTTCAGCCTTTTTCTCCTGTAAACCTGCTTTTCCTGAAGGCTTCCTTTCCTTGTTGAATTAAACACCTGCTCTTTGGACTGTCTGTGATTTGAGCATCTCACAAGTGGTTCGCCTTGTCAGCTCATTTCCCCATTTCTTTTTTTTTTTTAAATTTTTTTTTAATGTTTATTTATTTTGAGACAGAGAGAGACAGAACATGAAGGGGGGAGGGGCAGAGAGAGAGGGAGACACAGGACCGGAAGCAGGCTCCAGGCTCTGAGCCATCAGCCCAGAGCCCGACGCGGGGCTCGAACTCACGGACCGAGAGATCGTGACCTGGCTGAAGTCGGACGCTTAACCGACTGAGCCACCCAGGCGCCCCATCATTTCCCCATTTCTGAACGTCTTCCATTTCAAGTTCACCTTGGGGTGCTATGAATCACAACTACATCGGACATCTCCACAAAGACTCAAGCTCTGCCTCTCACCCCTTCACCAATAAGTACCAAATATTATCTGTTCCTGACCTTTATATCCAGGACAAACACAGCTACTATTTTCTCAATAAAAAGCATTGTAGGGAGAGAAACTCTTCCCTTTTACAGGAGTCCAAGAGGATCTATCCCACTTCAGAATCAAGAGAAACCAGACAATGCCATGTGGGAATGAGATGAGCCATGAGAAACCCAGTCCAGGTTTCCGCAGGGTGCAAGGCCTGATGGGAAAGTCTCCTTGATGCATGGAACACTTCTTAAGTGGGCAAAACCACTGTTAACTGCAGATTTGCTTTTCTGCACTATTCTCCACATTGCTTTCTTCTTTGCTTCAAACTCTAGTCTCCTCTTGCCTCACCTTCTTTGTTTCCCCTTCCTGGCCCACAAACATAACAGAATGTTGCTCACCACGCAGCATGGCTGCAGGAGGGAGAAGCCCTACAATCTCTATAACCATCAAGTGGTAACAAACCTTGGTTGTCACCAACTTTACTATTCCCTCACCAACCAATGCAGGTTACACCACTTGGATAAAGATGGATCCTTCTAATGTTTAAGGAATGCCCATTGCCATGGTCTAGGCACAGAGCTGGGAGGCATTTGAAAAGGATCAAGATCTCCTGGGCACCAACGAAGTGACCCTCAAGAAAGGTAGAGGCCAAAACTCACCAAAAAAACCCCAAAAACCAAAAAACAAACAACAAAAATGGTACAATGGCAACACAAAAGATGTCATAAGCTGCTGATAATTTGAGGGCTCTGACTTTGGGGGTGCAGTATCCAAAGGGATCTTAGGCAGCTCCATCGAGAAATGCTTAAGCCTGACTCCCAAATCCTTGGAAGTGGCAAAGTGTTGCTTTGGGCATGGGACGGACTTGGGCGTGAATTCCACTTCCATTATTTCTAACTGTGACATCAGTGTCATATTGATGATATTTCAACATCTGCTTAAACTTGGTTTCCTTGTATGAAAAACAGTCGGACATCCATCACGAGGATGCTGGGAAGGAAGTATGTGAGCTGTTTTAGCACACACCTGGATCTGCCTCTTGCACACTCAATAAATGGCATCCATCAGGACCCATTCTTCCTTCAATACCGCCCAAGAAGCATCTTCCAGGGATTCTGTCCCACAGTCCGTCGGAAGTTCTACCGTCTGTCCTGGGCCCCTCCCGACGCCACTGGGTTCAGTGTTCAGGGTAAAGTCAGAACCGCCGGGCTCTGCACCCGCGGGCTCCCTACAGGTCCCGGCCGCCAGGAGCGCGCTCCCCCGCGTCGTCGGACCTGGGGCTGTCCGCGGGACGGCTGGGTCGGGACCCTTTCCGCCGCAGCGACAACGCCGCCCTCTCTGCCCGGCCCCGGGCCCCCGCCGCCCAGCCCTCACCTGATGTAGGGTAGGAAGGGGTTGACGTGCCCCGAGAGCACCGCGACCACGTAGGAGATGATGAAGGCGGCGGACGACCAGGTCACCAGAAGAAAGGGCACGAAGGCCATTCCCCTCAGGAAGCACAGCATCGCGCCGCCTCCGGGAGGGCGCTGCGCCCAGAGGGGCGCGGCGCGGGACGCGGGGCGCGGGAGTCGCGCACGTGCTGGCCCGCAGGCGGCGGCCGGACGGGAGGCTCCGCGACGGCGGGGCAGGCCCGGCCTCGGACGGAGGAAGGCGCGGAGAGCCCAGCGAGGCGGCGGGCGGCGAGGCGGCCGGCCGGGGGTGGGTGGGGCGCGGGCGGCCCGGGCTTGTTGCGAAACTGGTGAAGTCACAAAACGGCGGCCCCCGCGGGCTTGGAGGCGCGCGGCGACCTCCTCGCGGCGCCGGACTCCTTTCGCTTTTGGTTCGGACTCGGCGGGGGTCGGCGCGGGAGGGCGGGGATGCCCGGGGCCGTCCCAGCCGGCCCGGCCTCCGCAGCTCTTGAGCAACTCGGGAGAAATGATCAGGTCCTCCCGGGCCCTCCTTCTTCCCTCGGGGTTTCCGGGATGCTGGGCCTCGAACCCCAGGGGCTTCCCCTCCTTAGTACGGCCACCTGCCCGTCGCGGAGGGGAGAGCGTGGCCCCCGCGAGGCGACACCCACCCCATCCCGCGGCTGCTGCTGCTGCTGCCTGCAGGGGTCGGGTCAGAAGTACGGTGACGTTCGCCAACTCACGGGGCACGGACGTGACACCCACCTGGATGCTGCCCACAAGGAAACCTAGAGCGTGGAGGGGCCCGTGGGAGTCCAGGTCGGACTGACTTCAAGCGGGGCCCGAAGCGGCTCCTTGTGCGTCACAGTTCTGCTTTCCCCTAGAGCAGACCTGGAGTATTTCCTAGAAGTTAGATTTCCCTTTCCCCGCTGACGGATCAGGGTTAGCCCACGCTGGGAGCCATGACCTAAGATGAGTAATGGGGACCTCATACATTTCAAACACTGCGAAAAGAATTTGTGTCCTGTAGGCACTTGTGAGCCCTGGTGATTTTGAGGGATAGTTTATAGATTCTGAGCCCGGGGTCTGTGTCGGAGGTCATGGGGTCTCATGGGGACCAAACATGGGTTCATTTCAGTCATATAAACGTTTCTTGGGTGCAAACCCTGCTAGGGGACAGGATGCAAAGATTAAATAGTACCATGGGGCCTAAGAGACTGACATCAAAATTAAATAAAATTACATGGAATATTACATAGAATATTTTTTAAAAAGGAAAAGAAGCACGTGCAGAACTGGCAGGCCAGCGCTCAGAAAGGTATTAGGGAAGTCTTCCTGACAGATGATATTAGAGTTTTCGAAAGTAAAAGATTGCTAACCAGACAAAGAGGGGAGAGTAGCATTCCAGGCCAAGGAAGCAGTAAGAGAAAATGCGTAGAGTGGTGTTGCTTATATTTCTGGAACTAGAAAAAGCACTCACATAAGTGTAAAGCGGAGAATGGAGAGGTGGGCAAAGAGGCCATCTCACAGGAGCCCTGGTAATTTTTTTTTTAATTTTTTTTTAACGTTTATTTATTTTTGGGACAGAGAGAGACAGAGCATGAACGGGGGAGGGGCAGAGAGAGAGGGAGACACAGAATCGGAAACAGGCTCCAGGCTCTGAGCCATCAGCCCAGAGCCCGACGCGGGGCTCGAACTCACGGACCGCGAGATCGTGACCTGAGCTGAAGACGGACGCTTAACCGACTGAGCCACCCAGGCGCCCCCCCCCCCTTTTTTTTTTCTTCTTGGTAATTATTTTTATTTCACTTTTTGTTTTCATTTTTGCTTTGTGGTAGTGAGAAAATTACAGGAATATGCACAGCCCTGTATCTCAGATAATTGTGGCTGTGGGAGGAGTGACCACCATGTTGACTAAAACAGAGGCTTTAAATTAAGGCTTTTAAAAATCAGAAGAGCTGTCATCCATGGTAACCCCCCTTACATCCGCACCTTGGTTTCTGCTTTCTGTAAAACCACTCTTCCCTGGTCTTCCTTCCCTTTCCCTATGATCTCCTTTTCCCCCTACTCTACTACTGATTCATCTGATTTTTTTAATGTATATTTATTTTTTAATGTATATTTATTTATTTTGAGAGAGAGAGAGAGCACGAGCAGAGAAGGGACAGGGAAAGAGAGAATCCCAAGCAGGATCCATGCACCAGCGTAGAGCCCACTGAAGGGCTCGATCCCACAACCATGAGACCAAAATCAAGAGTCAGACACTCAACCTACTGAGCCACCCAGGCGCCCGTGATTCTCTGATTTTAAAATACCCTCCCTGAGGCAGAGAAATTATGACATTAAATATAACTCAACTGATCACCTTATCCTTTCGTTGCTTATGGTTGCTTAAGCAACCCAATTGGCTAGTCATTGTTAATACAAACACAATAAGAATTGTCTGACAATAATAGTAATAGATATTTTGTTTTTTAAAATAAGTACGTATACATGCATATATTTAAAACCGGTATATAACTATAACTGACCATTTATACTTCATATGGGGTCAAGCAGCTCTGAGAAGCACAGTGTTGCTTTCCTTTCTATAAGCCTTCCATACCATACATCATGAAACACCCTCTCCTTGGGATAGCAAAGTTTATGATAGGAATGCAAAAGTCCTGGAAAACAACCTTACTGGTGAAGGAAATCAGAATATTTCACTTCAAAACATGCCTCTTTGACATAATTATTTTGAGCTGAAGGCAATTAAGCAGCAATAAAAGCAGGAAAATTTCTCTACACTCCTCCTTTCTGTCTAAAGGCAGGATATAAATTTCCTTTGCTGGAGACAGCTCTAAACTCAGCCCAGAAGTGCCACCAGAGGAATCTGCAAACTTTGCTCCATTGGTTTCCCCTCATATATTTACCTTCCCACAGTTTCTGCCCGTGAAAGCCTAAAACCCTTTCCCTCTGTCCTGTTATTTCTAAGTTGATTGTTCCCTTGTTAAGATGCTATACAAAGTTCTAGCTGCCACTTTGAGTTACCCATCCCTGAGTTTCTCCCACATATATAGTTGACCCTTGAATAACATAGGTTTGAACTACACAGGTCCACTTACATGCTGATTTTTCTTTTGAAGAATAGAGCACGGTGCATTCTTGTAATTTTCTTGACATTTTCTTTTCTCCAGCTCACTGTATTGTAAGAGTAGAGTATATTATATCTACACACACAAAATATGTGTTAATAGACTGTGTATGTTATCAGTAAGGCTTCCAGTTAACAGTAGACTATTAGTAGTTAAGTTTTTGGAGAGTCAAAAGTTATACATGGATTTTCGATTGCATGGGGGTTGGTGCCCCAAACCCCACATTGTTCAAAGGTCAACTCTATATGAGATATACATATTAATAAAATTTGGTCTTTCTCTTATTAATCTGTCTTTTATTAAAGAGACCCAGCCAAGAACCTAAAAGAGGAGAAAAAAAATAATTTCCCTTCTCTACACTGTTAGGATTTTTTTTTTTTAATGTTTTATTTATTTCTGAGACAGAGCTAGAGTATGAGTGGGGGAGGGGCAGAGAGCGAGGGAGACAGAATCTGAAGCAGGCTCCAGGCTCTGAGCTGTCAGCACAAGAGCCCCATATGGGGATTGAACCCATGAGCTGTGAGATCATGACCTGAGCAGAAGTCAGATGCTCAGCTGACTGAGCCACCCAGGCGCCCTCTTTAGGATTTTTAATGAAAGTTGTGCTTCTCCCCTTGAATTAATTCCTGACTTTCTCTCTGTCAAAGCCACACTGACTCAAAGTAAGGATCTGGTTAGACTGACCTTTTGAAGATGAAGACATTCTTCCTTGGTGACCACAATTTGTTGAAAGTATGCTTCCTGATCTAAATAATTTTCACATGAGCACTTAGGTATCATCTCCCTTTTATGGCTGAGGAAATAAGGCTCAAATTCATGGAGCTAGTTAATGGAGATGCAGAATTTGAATCCAGATCTATGTGGCTCAAAAACTTGTAACCCTATCCATTGTGAGGAACTGTCTCACTGTTCAAATTCCAAAGCTCTAAAATTTTAGAAACTCCTTATGATATATGCAGTTATCTTTTATTATTATGTAAGTATTTATGAATACATTGGATTTGAAAAAAATTTCAAAATATTACACAATATTATTTAACAGTAAAAATAAGAAGCATCTATAGAGAAGCATCTATAATTCTCTGCCAACAAGTCAACTTTCCCAATTTCCTAATTATCATTTGGTTCTTACTCATAGGAATATTCAAAATCAAGTTGTAATTACAAATTTGTAGCTTTATTATCTTTATGTATTAAATATCTACTCCATGTTATTATAGTTTTGGGGTTACTGGTTTTCATTACTCTATATTTGTCCATTGAATTAATGCACTATACTTCACTGCCCCCAATACTAAGCATGTGTATTAATCCAAGTACTTCCCTATTTTAAATAACATTCTACAAGCATCTCAGTTGTTTCGGTATTTCTTTTTTCCTTTAGGCAAATTTCCATGAGTGGGATTGCTGTGCCAAAGGGCAAGATGAACATTTTAAAATCTGTAAACATCCTAAATTATTTGAAAGTATTATATCAATTTCATTGCTTCTAATAACCTGTGTGTAACAGTTTCATTATATATTACCTGTCTATATTTTTAATGTTATATAATACCTATGAAATACTACTTGAGACTTTAGCATACTTCCTTTTAAAGTTTTGATCCCTTATTTACTGTTGTGATAGAGACCACTAGCTACCCAGTGCAGCATCCGTTTTTCCTTTCTCCTTAGTAATAAATCCCCAACTTAGAATGGACACATTTTGCCCCCACACAAAAGGATTACATTTCCCAGCTTCCCTTGCAGCTAAGGGTGGCCGTGTGACTTGGTTCTGTCCACTTATTAACATATAAGTGTTATATGATAGAAGAAGGCTGCTCAAGGGAAACTGACTTGCAACATAATGGGATGGCTAGATTCCAGCAGCCATCTTGGACTATGCAGTCATTGACCTTGAGGAAAGAAGCTGTAAGTGAAAACAGTGGAACAAAAAGATTGGTGTCATCGTCCCTGTTGACATTATGGAGCTGCTGAGGCAGC